GTCTAGCAGTGGTAAGCTAAATCACAAAAATTGATCACAATTGTTTCATATAGGTGTCCACAGCATCACCATATGGATAGGAGTGTTCCATATAGAGATCTACTGCATCATATGGCCAGGAGTGTTTCATATACATCTTTTGCCCCATATGGACAGGAGTGCTTCATATAGAGATCTACAGCACTGCGTGAACAGGACTGATTCATATAGAGATCTACAGTACCATATGGACAGGAGTGTTTCATTTAGAGATATACAGTACCGTATGAACATGTGTGTGTTTCATATAGAGATCTACTGCTAAACATAACCAGGAGCATTTCATATAGAGGTCTACAGCACCATATGGATAGGAGTGTTTTATATAGAGATCTATTGCACCATATGGCCAGGAGTGTTTCATATAGATCTACTGTACAATTAGACCAGGAGTGTTTCATATAGATCTACTGCACAATATGGCCAGGAGTGTTTCATATAGATCTACTGTACAATATGGCCAGGAGTGTTTCATGTAGATCTACTGTACAATATGACCGGGAGTGTTTCATGTAGATCTACTGTACAATATGACCGGGAGTGTTTCATGTAGATCTACTGTACAATATGGCCAGGAGTGTTTCATATAGATCTACTGTACAATATGACCGGGAGTGTTTCATGTAGATCTACTGTACAATATGGCCAGGAGTGTTTCATATAGATCTACTGCACAATATGGCCAGGAGTGTTTCATATAGATCTACTGTACAATATGACCGGAGTGTTTCATGTAGATCCACTGTACAATATGACCAGGATTTTTTCATATAGATCTACTGTACAATATGACCAGGAGTGTTTCATATATAGATCTACTGTACCAGGAGTGTTTCATGTAGATCTACTGTACAATATGTCCAGGAGTGTTTCATATAGATCTACTGTACAATATGACCAGGAGTGTTTCATATAGATCTACTGTACAATATGACCAGGAGTGTTTCATATAGATCTACTGTACAATATGACCAGGAGTGTTTCATGTAGATCTACTGAACAATATGGCCAGGAGTGTTTCATGTAGATCTACTGTACAATATGACCAGGAGTGTTTCATATAGATCTACTGTACAATATGACCAGGAGTGTTTCATATAGATCTACTGTACAATATGAACAGGAGTGTTTCATGTAGATATAGTGCACAATATGACCAGGAGTGTTTTATGTAGATCTACTGTACAATATGACCAGGGGTGTTTCATGTAGATCTACTGTACAATATGACCAGGAGTGTTTCATATAGATCTACTGTACAATATGAACAGGAGTGTTTCATGTAGATCTAGTGCACAATATGACCAGGAGTGTTTTATGTAGATCTACTGTACAATATGACCAGGAGTGTTTCATGTAGATCTACTGCACAATATGACCAGGAGTGTTTCATGTAGATCTACTGCACAATATGACCAAGAGTGTTTCATGTAGATCTACTGTACAATATGACCAGGAGTGTTTCCTATAGATCTACTGTACAATATGACCAGGAGTGTTTCATGTAGATCCACTGTACAACATGACCAGGAGTTTTTCATATAGATCTACTGTACAATATGACCAGGAGTGTTTCATGTAGATCTACTGTACAATATGACCAGGAGTGTTTCATGTAGATCTACTGCACAATATGACCAGGAGTGTTTCATGTAGATCTACTGCACAATATGACCAAGAGTGTGTCATATACATCTACTGTACAATATGACCAGGATAGTGTTTCCTATAGATCTACTGTACAATATGACCAGGAGTGTTTCATGTAGATCTACTGTACAACATGACCAGGAGTTTTTCATATAGATCTACTGTACAATATGACCAGGAGTGTTTCATGTAGATCTACTGTACAATATGACCAGGAGTGTTTCATGTAGATCTACTGCACAATATGACCAGGAGTGTTTCATTTAGATCTACTGTACAATATGACCAGGAGTGTTTAAAATAAGGGTTTAAAGCACCATATCAATAAGAGTGTTTCCTATAGAGATCTACAACACCATATAGAAAGAAGTGTTAAATAGAGACATCTACTGCACCATATGGCCAGGGGTGTTTCATATATAGAGATTTAGAGCACCGTATGGCCAGGAAGTGTTTCATACAGATCTACAGCACCAAATGGATAGTGTTTCAAATTAAAAATAATCTACTGTACTATATGGCCAGGAGTGTTTCATATAGGGGTCTACAGCATTGTATTTCATGTATTTCATATAGGGGTCTATAGTACCATATGGACATAAATGTTTCATATAGGGATCTACAGCACTATTTGGCCAGGAGTGTTTCATATAGAAGTCTACTGCACAATATGCCCAGGAGTGTTTTATATAGAGATCTACTGCACAATATGACCATGAATGATTCATATAGATCTTACGCACCCTATGGACCAGAGTATTTCATAAAGAGATTTACTGCACTGTATGGACAGGAGTGTTCACAGCATCATAGGGATAGGAGCATTTCATATGAAGATCTACTGCACAGCATGGACAGGGGTGTTTCATATAGAAGTCTACCACACCATAAACACACAGAAGTGTTTAATGCAGAAGTCTTCAGCACCATATGAATAGAAGTGTTTCATATAGAGCAGGGGTGCTTAACCTGTGGCCCGCGAGAGCCCTCTGATGTGGCCCGTGACCTCATGCTCTGGGATGGCGAGTCAGGAAGGCCAGATCAGGGGTTGCCAACCCACCATCTTAGAGCATCAGAGTGCAAGGGGCCAGCGCAATCGATGGCAGAAGGAGCAGGAGCCATAAAAGCCAATACGTCCTATGTAGCGTCAGCTCCTGTCCAGGCAGTGTGATACCAAGTGCGCTTCACCTAGGACCTTTCTAGCAGCTAGCAGAAGCTGCTATTAAACATATATATTTTTTTAAATGTATTCTTCAGATTTTTTTTAACATATAAAAAAGTCATATTAACATATATTTTTTTACATGTATTTGTAAATGCATTCCAAAAATGTAGATTTGTATTTTTAAAGACATACAGTATATTTGAAATGTATTTTTAAAAATATTTTTCATATATTTTGTAATAAAAACACATTTCAACATACAGTGTATATATATATATATATATATATATATATATGTGTGTATTTATTTATTTCTTTATTGAAATATATTTTGAAATATATTGCATAAGGCCAAAATTGTAGTATTTCAAATATATGTTAATATATTTGGGAAGAATATTTTTAAAATATATTTCAAATATATTTTTCTTCCATATGGGACCCCGTGCAGCCTCCCTGTCACATTCTGTTTTACACTTGGATGGGAGGGTCGGTAGGAGGGCCCCATATACAGGAAACAATCCTCTCCATTTTTCCACCTGCAACAGCTGAAAGCTGGCTTCTCCTCCTCTCATTCCTACTGGCATTCAGTGGCTGCAGGAAAAAAGCTCATTATTCTATTCAAGATAAAAACAATTGAAATTGTGAACTATTTCATTTAAAAAAAATGGTGCCCAGTGACCAAAAAACACAAGGTAATTCCAGGTGCCCGTCTGAATGGTCAACTCACTAAGTGAGTGGGCCAAACGTAACCAGAACCAGTCTGGAAAGTGCCAATGTTGAACCCAGTGCCCGAGGAGCACTCCGAGGCTCACCCTCAATGCCCAGACCAGCTGGGCCTGGATGAGATATGGCCCAAAAGCCAGCCTTAAAGCAACAGGGTTGGATATTTGTTAAAATGGTGGGAAACACCAGTAGAAGTGTAGAGAAGAGTCTTGATTGAAGAAGAAAAAAAGTTGCTAGAACAAAAATCACAGGTTAGACTTTAAAACAAATCTGAATAAAGATGTTTATCTTCCTAGGACACTGGCAAAATACGGAGGCATGCTGGTAATCGGAGGAGTTATACCCTGTTTGCCAACAGTTTTTTGTTTGCCAATGTTCCTGTAGGTGGCAGCATAATTGAAAAGATTAGGACTTCCAGCGTCACTTAGTGAATGAGAAAGGAAAATATCCATCAGACATTTCAGGTGCATTTTTAGCAAGTCTGTACCAAGGGAAACCTTTAGTGTGAATGTTTCTCACTCACTTTGTATGACACATGGGCAAAAACATGCTTTTAAAATGCATTAAAAACACACATGAATGCAAATTCATAGCATGCAACAATGCATGTAAACTAAGAGATTAATGCATGTCAAAAACTTGTGTTACTGTACGTCCAAAAGTGGAAATGGCCCATAGTGACACTTATTTTATATTCATTACAGATACTTATATAACGCTGTCAATTTATGCAGCACTTTACATATATATTGTACATTCACATCAGTCCCTAACCCTCAAGGGGTGTACAATCTAAGGTCCCTAACTTACATTCATACATACACATACTAGGGACAATTTAGATAGGATCCAATTAACCTACCAGCATGTCTTTGGAGTGTGGGAGGAAACCCACGCAGGCACAGGGAGAACATGCAAACTCCAGACAGGTGGTGCTGAGGTTGGGATTTGAACCAACGACTGCCAGGCAGAGGTGCTACCCATTTAGCCACTGTGCTGCTCTTGATGAAGGATCCCATGACCCATTAGATTGTTCACTTCTTTATATAATTTATGTTGAAGATTAGTAGGTAAACATATACAGCAGGGAGTGCAATTTGGTAGCTTATAATATCAACCTAACCTATTCTGTGAAAAATGACTACAACCTTTTCTGTATACTTTTGTGAATATTGGTAACTGTTCTGTATAATGAAACTTTTATTTCAGGTTTAGGAGTCCTCTAAAGCTTTGTAGTTGTCCGCTTACTTTTCAATCAAGGTTGGTCTTGACAGATTGCGATGTGGCTGCAACAGTCCACATTTTAAAACAGGGAATGGAAAACAAAATTTAAGAGCAGTAAGAGTTCAGGGGTATAAAGTGTTTAGCTCAGTATCTGGTTTTATAAATATAGTTTTTTATGCTGAAAAAATGAATTGTCCTATGAATTGTCCTTTGACTTCTCTTCTTTATCTTTGTGTGTTAGGACTGTCAGGTCCTCCTTGTCCTCGTTACAGTCATCTGCATTTACATGGACCAAGATTGGCCGGGAAAGAATCTTCAGAGCTTCCAGGTAACTTGGGGGCGGAGTCTGAGTGTTCTCCAAAGGCCTGGACAGGACCTTCAACGCATGCATATAACTAGGTGGAGGGGTGATGGTGTTGTTCAGACGGAAGCCATGAGGAGCCAGCAAAGCATTGACTTCTGTAATGCATGAAAGAAGAGCTCTGGTTACTTTCTTGGCAAAAAAAAAATATCAACAGAGAAATGTACATATGGAGTATATTTTTTAAAGGGCTCTGCAAGAACATTAGTATAGAATTCAGCTTATTTCTGTTTTTAAAATGTTTTCAAATCCTTGTGATCATTTTTTTTTTGCTCATTGTGAATCAGTTTTGGGCTGTTTGGAGATGAATTGTAGTATAGTAAAGGTTGGTCTTCACACACCCCAACTGATTTATACTTACCACTTGGGTCTTGAATAATTCCAGGAGAAGATGGGGGGCTATGTGCTTCCTGCACAGTAACATTGATGAGATCCCTGTGATAAATATTCCTGCGTGAATGCAACTCCCTTCGACTTTGTGGTTTCTTACAGAACAGGGACGTGATGTTCTTGTGTAAACACTGAACGCAGCACTTTGTGGACTTGACCACACGAACCCAACAGAACACGACGATCATTACAGCAGCAAGGCATATGGTGAGCCAAACAAGCCAAGACTCCTCCATTCTGAAAGACACACAAAGATAGTGTGAGATCGCAGCTCCAGATATATATGATCAACCTAAGACAAAGATCACATGACTATACCATGAACCCCCAAAAAGGAGAGTGAAAATGAAATTCCTAGATCCATTTATGGCAGTCAGATTTTACAAAGACAAACGTAGTATTGGACTCAAATGTTTAAAGTATAATTGTACTTATTGGATTTTTTTTTCCCCAGCACTGAATCCAAGTCTTATGTTCACCTGTCTCCATTCCAATGAGATCTCTGTGCACACTCCTTAAAGCTTCATAGCCTCTTAAAATCTTCCTCATTGGATTCTATGCTTGAACCCATTGTTCAGAAGAAACACTCTCTATAGGTCTAAATGAAGATTGCAGTGCAAATGCATGAGATGGACCAAACATGACAGAGAAAAGTTAGTCAAGGGGGCTGCTTATGATTATAAAACTTACAAAGGAGGTAGTGTAGTGGCAATGAAAATGCAGTTACACTTTCAATTAAAAGGCGATTCTTAGCATACATTTCATAATTTAAAAAGGTTTCGAGCCATTTTCTCTTCTTAAGGTGGGCATTTCAGATCTGGTCTTTAGGGTTGAGGGGAGAGCACCTCCTATTATATCTCTTTCCAATTTTTACTTTTTTTTTTTTCTCTCTTGCCATTGTTATATAATATTCATATCCCTCATTTTTGTTAGTCTTTGGTCTGGTTCCTGATTTTAATTTTATATATGCTTATTTGTCTTTTATTTTATTCTCCATTAGACTCTAGGATCTGTTTTGGCTATCATTGCATCTGTGGGTTCCCTACTATCTACAGCTTATACCCAGACATAAGGTTATTATTTCGATTTTGTTATGTCTTGGGATTATTCCCGAATTTCTATATGCTTCTATGAAGCCTCTCTTGTAATTGTTTGATTTTTCTATAACTTTTAAAATAATAAAATAAGATTAAGATAAGAAAAAAAGAGGCAATTTTTCAAATATGCATTAATAGTAAATATGTTTGTAGGGTGAACTACAATTTCTCCCTTATGACACAGTCCCTACTTCTACTGAAAACTCCAATCTGCAATTTGTAGGTAAACACAGTATTATAATATGGCTATAAAGGTTGATTTACTAAAGGCAAAAAGCCTGTTCACTTTGCAAGGGAATTTGCCCTAGAGTTTAGTGAAGGTGGTGAAGGTTAATTTTGCAATGAATACCCAATCATGTCATTTTGCAATGAATACCCAATCATGTGCAGGGGGAGAAACATTAAAGTCAGCAGTTTCACCTCATTCACTAAGCTCTGCAAACCCTTGCAAAGTGAACAGTCGATTTGCCTTCAGTAAATCAACTCCAATGACACCAATAACGAGAGACTTACATCCTCTCCTAGTCATTGAGTAAAGATTTACAATTATAAGCCACAGCTTGCTGGGAAATCCACAATCCATTCAAGATCTATCATTGTCTACAAAATTAACACTACATAAGGGAAGAATTACATTATATAATTTAGAAATTAAGTATAAGCTGTCCTGTTTAAAGTACACAAACATACTACAATAATTTTGTAAATTGGGGACTATATTTGATACATTTAGGATGCTTAGAGGCACAATGAATATATATATATATATATATATATATTTATATATAAAACATAAACATTCTCTGTTTGAGATACAGTAAGTCAATACACAAGTGTCAATTCAGTAAGCTATAACATGCCTTAATTATCTTTTTTCCCAATTTCATTTCTGAGAATAGCAGTCATGATGGCAAATATTGATTGCTAAAGCTCAATAAACTGAGGTTATGGCGAATTGTGGCCTAGGGTCTCGCTGTTGCTTTATAGGGTTCAAGGGGTTGGAGTAGGGAAAGGAACCCCTACATGTTAAACATTATTTTTGTTTCAGAGTGCAACATTTTTATGTGAATCCTAATTTATTCTATATACACACATATGTGGTGTGATTGAATGTCAATGGTTCACATGACACATTCTGTGACTGTAAACCTGTGCCTTGTCTATGTAAGCAGAAACACACATTATACACTTAACACAAAGACAATTCGGCAGTAGTAATCATCAACTACAGCACAGAATGTCTGCTGGAAATAGTAACTACAGCAAGAATTAGACTTGATGCTGAGTTAAAGCTTTACATTTATAAAGCTAAAGCAATATTATAAAAAAAAATGGACTTTATAGGCACTTAAAAATCAAATCTTGTAAAATCTTCATACTCTTTATTGATAAATCACATAGTTACAACAAGACAAGTAATGATAACTTCTAAAACATGATACTCAATAAGTACCACAATTACAACATAGAGAAATTGCACCTCAAGAATTGTATCGTTTGAATTCCTACCGCTCCTGGACACCAGTATGGCCTGCACACACTTCACCTCTCAGTTCAGCTGAAGTTGTACTAGCTATGTACTATGACAATATATCTGTGTTCAGTCATCCTAACCATCTGTGATCCACTTTGGTACAAATCAGGTTATATGGTCATTTAGGAGCAGTAGGATTTCAAACAATTGTTGAGGTGCAATTTCTCTACATTGTAATTGTGTACTTACTTACTGAGTATCATGTTTTAGAATTTATCATTACTTGTCTTGTTTTAACTATGTGATTTGTCAATAAAGAGTATGAAGATTTTGATTTGTGTTTAAGTGCCTATAAAGTCCATTTAGTTGCAATCACATTTTTTAGGATGTGGCACAGTTTATGAGCTGTGTATCCATAGTACCATTCTATGGGTATACCACCTATTCATAAAGAAGTATTATATCCAAATGTCAGAGTTGAATATTGCAGCTCACAATTCTTAGATGTCATGGGTGCATTCCTTTTCTATTTTCTTTATTTTAACATGGTGATCCAGCTAATAATTCTGATATTATTCAACTTCTTTTAACAGACCAAGTTAAGTCTATACGTTGGAGGGTTTAGACTAATCATTTAACACTGACAATGGTGCGTACAATGATCAGCTTTTCTTCATTTAGGTAAAACCTTTATTACCCCCCCCCCCCCCCCCAAAAAAATAGTTTTCTATAACTGCCTATGAAATCTAAAATCTATTATTCAGAATGTTTGGTATCTCACAAATACATATATATATGTATATATATAAATATATATATATATATATATATATATATATATATATATATATATATATATGAACACTGTGCTATACTATACTATGTCCCTAAAGTCTGCATTTTTCAACAACGTTTTATTTCATTGGATTATTAATCTATGACATCTTCAATGTGATTTCCACCATTTGTGATGCAAAGTTCCATGCGCTTTGCAAGATTCACATAAACCAGATGCAGTAACATTTCCGTCAATTTGAGCACATTCATTCATGATGCTTTCCTTCAGGTGAATCATATCTGTGATTTTCATTGAGTGCACCTTTGCCTGTATATTGTACTATTTAATGTAAATAAATATCTTAAATATGTGCTGCAAACCTTAACAAAATATATTTAAGTAACAACAAAGAAATAATAATAATTATTGAACATGATAAATGTGTAATAAATAAAACATATGGCCTCACACATGGGCATTTTTTCAGACACTTTTAGGGGCGTCAGGCGTTTTTTTTTACTGCTTCCAAACAGCCCTCCATATTATCCTATGTGTCCATGCTGGGTTGGTGATGTCACAGGGGGGTGTGGTGGGGTCTCCTTGTGACATCACTGGATGGCCCCGCCCCTTGGTTATTTATTTATTATTTCAGGTACTTATATAACGCCATCAATTTACGCAGCGCTTTACATATATATTGTACATACACACCAGTCCCTAACCCTCAAGGGGCATACAATCTAAGGTAATTTAAGAGCTGTTAGATGGTGGAAGCCTTCGTCGGGACCAGAGGTTTTTTATTTTCTCTTGTACTATGTACCCCATACTCATTCACATGGGGGGGGGGCTGGGATCTGGGGATCTTCCAGATTCTGATAAGCCCCCTACCCACAGACCCCGACAACCACCGGACAGGGTTTTGGGGAAGAGGTCCTTGTCCTCATCAGCATGGGGACAAGGTGCTTTGGGGAACACCCCCCCCATGTTGAGGGCATGTGGCCTGATATGGTTCAAGAGGGGGGAGGCACTCGCTTGCGCTGGCTTGCCTCCCCCCCTTTCCTGACCTGCCAGGCTGCATGCTCGGATAAGGGTCTGGTATGAATTTGGGGGGGACCTCACACCATTTTTTAAAATAATTTTGTGATGGGGTTTCCCTTAAAATCCATACCAGACCCAAAGGGCCTGGTAAGGATTGGGGAGGACCCACACGCCATTTTTTTCAAATTTATTTTAATTGCAGGCAATGGGGTTTTTTTTTTACATTCAGCTGACAGCTGATGACTCATCTGTTGTTAAGGATGGGGCAGCAGGCTTCCTGACCTTCTCCTTAACAACAGCCTCACTTCTTAATGCTAAAACTACTATATGTAGCTTACACACTAGGCTAAACACTGCTAAACGCTGGCAAAAAACGCAAAAATATTAGCGGTTTTTGTCAAGCGTTTTTAAGCCATTTTGAGCTTCTCTAGTGTGCATGAGACCTATAGATCAATCAAAATAAGACATGAAACAATACTATAAAAAAGTAGGAAACTGTATTCTGTGAATATATTTCAAAACATCTTACCTGGAGATCCTGCCAGTGACAACACTTTTTGTTTCAGGCTAACAACACAAATCCAATGCTCCTGATTTTGCAGCATTTGTTGTCAGCCTGCCGTGCGTACTTCTTTGGTTGGCTGCCTATCTAATGGATCTGATGGGCAGTCCCACAGACAACTAAATAAGAGCACATGGCAAGCTGACAACACTGTTGATAATTGCGGCAGTGGCTTAAAGTTGTCAGCCTGCAACAGAGCTGTTGCTGCAAGGATGTTCAGGTAAGAAACCTTGGAAAACAAAATATTAATAGTTTACCAAAGCTGTATAATTTGAGTTTACATACACTTTATGCCAGATTTTATCCGATAAAGTAATCTGAATAAGACATTGCTATTATTCAAGACATGCATATATAGGTACCTGTAATAAAGAAATCAGTGATACAAAGTGATAGACAAAGCTCACCTGGATCGGTTACACTGCAGGTAGGTGGTCAGACCAGATACACACATATCAACCACTTGATGGTCACATTCCCAGAGTGCAGTCTTGTTCTCTGGACACTGTATTGTTACAGGAGAGATGGGTGACTTTCCCTTGTTAAGCAGCGAGAAAAGGGGCTGTTGAGGCGTACACCCCATCTGTACAGGGAGACAAGACAGAAAATGATGCAACTTGATGCTGACCATGTCAATGCCATACAAACATTTGCCAAAGTTGTTTGCTAAAATGCTGCAGATGAAAAAGCCAGGAAAGGAAGAGTCATTGAACCGTCCCAGCATGGTTGTTGAGATCTAAGTCCACCAGCACCCCAGAGTGGAGATGTCTAAACTATTTCATAGCTAGATCCCTATGACTAAGTCGGAAGTGACGAAACACATCAGGGTGAGGCTGTGCGGCGACCGGAAGTGACGTCTGGGACCGGAACCGGACGTGAAGCAAGAGCGCCATTGTTTGGGATCCGGCGGTGGTGAGAGCACTACGTGCAACCCACCATATCACACTATTATGCATTATCTACAGGCGTGCTTTTTTCAGTTATTCTGTGAGTGGCTGTCTGCATTTATTTAATAAAAGATGTTATTTGTACTGCACCATTGGAGTTTTTACCTTTTTACTTTTTCATGGCCATTGTTTCTGGGAGAGAGGAGCAAGGAGGATTGTGGACATACTGATATTGGCATACTTCCTTTTTATTTGGAGTTTTGCAAAGCGATATATGCTGACCATGAGAGTGGGAGGCATGGAAATTTGGGGAGTGTACACCCGAAAGGGGAACGCTTTTTCTTGGTGATTCCGGTTTTGGGAAACAATTGGAAGATTATCACGTTGGAATGAATTTATGGACTTTCATTAATTAGCCACTTATTAATTTGTTTATTACCAGGGCCGCTGAATCACTTAGCTGCCCCATCCTTAACTTATGTTGTTTATATGATTTATATCACTTAAGGTGACAGCAGTTTTTATTTAGATGTATTGTATTATATTTATTTAATTTTGTATAATTTGCACGCATCTAGCGCAAACGTTTTTTTCACATATATTTATTAATTTTATTTCATAGCTAGGCCCTGCAGATTACATCAGAAAAGCAGCATGACCAGTGATGGGAGTGGTGCATCCATAGCTGCAGCTGCATTCCCCCTGCATCTGGCGACCCTGATCAACACTATAGTCATTCACAAGCATAATCAGCTAGTCCGTTTTCTAAAACATAGCTGTAAATTTAATTACATTTTGGTTAATCTAGTCTTGTAATATTGGCATGGTAATTCAACCTTTTTAGGGTTAAATTAGGCAGTGAGAAAGCAACATATCACCTCCAAGCCGCCTGTCAACAGCCTTCTGAAAAATGATCCAGCACAGATCCCTTGTTAAGAGGGGCAGCAAGGGCTGCCGCATGTGAAAAAAAGCCCTTGCAATGTGTAATTTTCTTCAACATCTCTCTAATTGGGCCGCCTTCCACCCCCCAGGCCCCAAAGCACCCACATGGTCTGCTATTGCTATTGTTATTGCACTGCTCAGGGGATTAGTTTAAAACTAATGACTAATGTCATTCACAGACTGACTTGTTTATTGTTTCAGCAACCAATTGTCAGTTTTTTCTTGTTCACAATGGGTTCACACTATGCGGTGCAGAACACCACATATAATTCACACAGGAATCGCACCGCATTCCTGTGCGAATTACATGCAAATGTCTGTGCGGTGCACTTTGAGCCGTACACTTTTGTATGGCTCAAATCGCATCGCATCCGCAAAAAAAAGGTGCAGGACTCTTTTTAAATCCGCACCTGAATCACATTGCATTAGTGTTCTTACCCATGCAATGTGATTTCTGGCAATCACATCGTGTTTTGCATTCTGTTTAGGGGTGTCATTAATTCATTATTGACATCTGCACCAGATCGCATGAAGGTGATGCGATTACAATGCAGTGTGGGAAACACACAGGATTCGCAGCATTTCCCGCACCGCATTGGTGTGAACCCGGGCTCAAGGTAAACCTCAAATCCAGCCAAAGCTGGGTAAGAGTGAGAATGTTTTGTTTTATTTGCTGTCTGTGGTTTCATTTAGGAGAGTCACCCTCATTTCCTATCCTGATAACAGGGTGCAGGTGTCACTGCAAAAGCCATTTTTGACTCTTCCCATTGTTCTAAATCAGGGGTCTCTAAATTACAGCCCATGGGCCAAATCCAGCGTGCTACAAAATTTTATCCGGCCCCCAGCTAGGTGAGTGGTGTATCCTCAAAGTGCACTGATTGGGGAGTAATGTCATCAGAGACATGCATGCTGTATCACACTGCAATACACTGGACTGGTGTGAAGGGGGCCGAAATCTGAAATGCAAGCCTGGGTGTCCCCTGGTTCTGAGCATCTCTCCAGTTTCTGGACTGCAATCCCAAGCCTGATGCTATATAAGGGAGCAGATTAAAGGCAAGATGAATAAACTACCTAACTTTCAGTTTATTTCTTGGTTGAGTTGCCCTGCTGAGAAAAAGAAGATTGCTGTGTTGGAGACACTTACTTGTTCACAGAAGAAGGCAGCATCCATTCCCTTAATGCTTGTAAAACATACAGGACTCCATATGCCCTCTCCAAATACCTCCATGTGCCCATCACAGGAAGAACGGCCCCTGGACAGTCTCCATGACCTGTTATCTAAAGATAGAATATCCGAGGGAAATTAAATTATTGGCACATTAGCAGCAGAAATGTCTTCATACAGGATATGGACAAAATATTATATTTTCATGCCTTTTTAAAAAAACATTTTACATTTTTGCTGTTTATCCACTTGCCCTCCAGAGGATTTATCCCCCTTCCTGACCGGACCATTTTTTTTTTGCAATATAGCGCTGCGTTACTTTATTTGACAATTGCGCGGTCATGCAATGCTGCACCCAAATAAAATTTATGTCCTTTTTTCTCACAAATAGAGCTTTCTTTTGGTGGTATTTGATCACTTGTGCATTTTTAGTTTTTTGCACTATAAACAAAAAAGACCAACAATTTTGAAACAAAAAACAATATTTTTGACTTTTTGCTATAAAAAATATCCAGTAAGAAAATTAAAAAAATTAAATTTCATCATAGGACAAAATGTATTCAGCTACATGTCTTTAGTAAGAATAAATCCCAATACCTGTAAATTAATTGGTTTATGTGAAAGTTATAGCGTCTACAAATGGCAGCATATACTGGAATTATTATTTATTTATTTATTTATTTTTTATAGTAGTAATGGCCGTGATCAGCGACTTATAGTGGGACTGCGGGACTGCGGCGGGCCGTCTGACACTGGGTGGGAACTGACTAACTACCATTGACATCTCCAATTACACTAATACAGTGATCAGTATTAATAAAATGTACTGACACTGTACTAATGACACTGGACAGAATAGGGTTAAAATCTAGGGGTTACCTGTGTGCTGCGTGCTATTTTACATGATGTGTTGTGTGTGTGTTACTAGGGAAACATACTGTGTATTTCTCTGCATTGTAGAAAAATACACAGCACCATGTTCTTGCTGGCAGGAGAGAGACCTGTGTTGTTTACACTCAGATCTTTCCCCTGTAAGTGATACTCGGCGATCTCTGGGTGCCAGTGGAGAATCTCCATCCGGGACCTGGTGATTGACATCCATAGCCGCCAATGGCGGTGCAGGTAGGGCGCACGTGCGCCCCCTACCTTGATACGCAAAATTACGTGTATAAATATATATATTTATATTTATATATATATTTATAAAGTGAACTGTTTGGAGTGCAGCTGATCGGACATCCTTTGTTCTCATTATTGCTACAGGGTGGCAGGCTGCGCAAAATCACACATATATATATATATATATATATATATGTGTGTGTGATTTTGCGCAGCCCTGCTACCCTGCAGCAATAATGAGAACAAAGGACGTCCGATCGGCTGCACTCCAAACAGTCCACTTTATTGAACCAAGATCTTACCCATTGGGGTAATGAATAAGCGCTGTCTTTAACATAATAGCATTTACTTGCCAATTCCCCACTGTATTTCCACTGTCTGCATTGGTTTTATCTTGGTTCAATAAAGTGGATTGTTTGGAGTGCAGCCAATCGGACGTCCTTTGTTTTCATCTATGCAGCACACGAGCTGGGCTAGCACCTACAGGAGGAGTTATGCTTGGAGATTGGGAGTCTCTCTACCTTGAGCAGTGGTAAACATATACGCCCTGTAGCATTAGTACTGCTATAGGGAGGTTGGGAAGCGGTTAAGGACGGATATGTGGGCATGTGTTAGGAAGCATGCATAGGTGACTGTAATGAAAAACATTTTTTTTAATATTGCTGTTGTTGAGTACCTTGAGAGATCTTTTTGTATGTATATAATGACAATAAAGTATTATCTATCTGTCTTGGACAGCACTATGAATAAACGAATACAAGAAAAGAGTTCCATAGATCAGTAAGGGACACACAATGAAATGTGGGATAAGTGGCATGTACCAAGGAAACACAGAGAAAGGCTCAAGGAAAACATGGATCTATGAAGAAACCTTACAGCGCTTTCATTTAGGTATTCAGCCTTCCCCCTTTCTACATTTTGAAGAGTTACAGACAGGAGTTAAAACCAATACAGTCCATAATGTTGATGTGAAAAAAAAAAATCTACATAGTTATCCACCTCATGTACAAATAAAAAAAAAACCCTGAAAAATCTTAATAAGCATTCACCAACTTTGCTGTAAAACTCTTAATTAAGATGTTATTGAACCCTGACTTACAAAAGCCTATAGTATCATGTCTGAGCCATAATTACTGTTAATATTATTATTATTATTATTATTATACAGCATTATATAGCCCCAACAGTTTATGCGTGCTGTACAACATGAGGGCAGACAGTACAATTACAATACAATTTAAAACATTAGGAATCAGAGGGCCCTGCTCGTTAGAGTTTTTAATCTAAGAGACATGCACAGAATGGGCTCTTTGGATGTTGAGGGGGGACAGGTGGATCCAGACAGTCCCCAATCCCCTTCCCCCCTCTCCTTCCCCCTTGTTTTCCATCTTTGTTGCCCTATGGTATTGGCCTATCCCTCTTCGAATTCCCCTATTTCTCTTCCCCAATCGTCTCCCCCCCATCATTTCCCTGTATTTTTTTTTTCAAAAATTCTTGTATGATCTCCATAACAAAAAGAATGTACTACTAGAGAGAAAAGACAGTTATAATTTGAACCATGTCGACATTACTTTGTAACAATACATGGCGGAATAATTTCCAAATGGTTGTGCGGTCTTGCTCGTATATATTGTTTGGACTGTTCTCTTCTTCTGAATAAAGAATTTATCATTTAAAAAAAGTATATAGTACTGCAGTTCTCAGTACTTACCAGGTTTGCTGTATATTTTTACTATAAATCCTGCGGTTGCTTTGCTTACCATGTTTTAAATATGACTCTATCCCTGTTCCTGTTTTAGGCTCCATGTACACGAGCCTACTCTGACCACCGCGGGAAAACGCAAATCCCAGCAAAATGCAGTAACCGCGGTACCACAGTTTTGCTGAATTTTGCATTTTCCCACAGCTGACAGTCAGAACGTTCTGATTCTTCTGCATTCAGGAGAGGGACGTTTAGCCTCACCTAAACACAGAAGCTCCTAAACTCTCCTAAAAGCCTATGTGTACATGGATACATAGGCTTTTATGGAGTTGAGTTTAAGAGTTTTGGCAAAAAAATGCCAAAAGCTCCTAAACTTGAGTTTAGGAGCAGCAGTGTACATGAAGCCTTAGGGTGGCTCCATCTCCCTGCATGGTCCTGTGGAGTAACCTCTGTGTGCATGCCCCTGGTTGTCCTTCAGCTAAGTATTCCTACACAGTGCATGTCCACATAAGGAAATGGTCCAGACGCATACAGAATCAAGCCATTCCCCTGCTCCTACCTCCTCCTAGCAAGGTGATTGACAGCAGCAGGAGCCTGTGCTGTTAGACTGACCTGTTCCCTGTGTCAGACATTTAGGGTTGCAACACAGAGCACTCTGGTAACAACAGCAGTGTACTGTACACATAGTGAGGTTGATTTACTAAAACTGGAGCGCGCACAATCTAGTGCAGTTGTACATGGTAGCCAATCAGCTTTTAACTTCAGCTTGTTCAATTAAGCTTTGACAATAAAACCTAGAAGCTGATTGGTTTCTGTGCACAGCTGCACCAGATTTTGCACTCTTCAATTTTAGTAAATCAACCCCACTAAGTGTTGGGGACAATTATGCAGCATACAATGTATTATGTCTATTTGCTTAGGCAGAATAGATGCATTTGAAGAAATGAGAGCATTTAATAATACTTTAAGCTTTGGTGCCAACATTTGCCTTCAGAAGGTACATCATAAGTTGGAGGGCATCTTTTTATGTGCCGATAAAGCACAATAAAATCATATGATCTTAAAATGAATATGCTAGTGATCATATGTACACATAACCATAAAGACAAAACTGATAATTCCAGAATAAAGTTCTAGAGAAACACCAATAATGGCTGCATCTTTAAAAACATCTCAAGCATCGAGTATACTCCAGAGCACTGTTTTTTAAAAAATTAAAAAAAAATATGGTATAACTTCACAGCTGAGATCAAAAAACACATCCATGGACAACAATAACTGAGATGTCACAAATCTGGGCTAACCAAGGTGGGGCAAAACAATTGCTAAAAAAAATGAAATTCCATTTGGAATTTGCTGAAGGGAGTGTGCAAGACGCACAAATGTTTATTTGGTCTTAGACCAAAATATTACATTTTTGTCCTTAGCTTAAAAATCTAGAAAAACCAACAGTGTTTATAGCTTTGGGAACATCATCCCAACTGTGATGTATGGTGGTGGTAGCATCATGTTTCAAGGATTATTTTCATTGGCAGAGACTGGAACGCTGCTTAGAACTGAAGGCAAGGATGGAACTATAAATACAAGAAACTACCAAACCTTTTTCAATGTGCAACTCTGCCCATCAATGTGAAACCTTTGTAGAAAGAAATTCTAGACATGGCCAGCTCCTATTTGGCATGCGTTCCACACAGACAATATATTCCTATGGTTGAACCTTTTACTCCTCTTGACTTCTGGAGGCCCCAATGACTATAAACCAGCCATGAAGATGAAAAGCCCAGGCAGTGCGCTTGAACAGTAGAAAACTCAGGAGAAGGTAAGTCATTTGATTAATGGCTTACTCTCAGGGAGACAGAGGGAACATTTAAAGGACAACATCACTAAAAGTGAAGCTGACCTTTAAAAACAGCATGGTATAAAACTGGAACAAATTTTCATTTTCAAACATAAATAGTGTCCTCTATACTGGTGGAACATGTTAGACAGAATGGCTGGTCACAACCATTCATGAAACAGTCGGAAGGTCTCCTTTTTCTGATTTACACATGAATCAGTGAAAGTATCTGTAGGAGATCATCTGATCACCATCTTAAAGCAAGCTACAATGAAGGTAGAGTTTCATTTCTAGGTCATAAAAATAAAAAAATGTAAAGTATAATTTTTTTTATATTTTAACCTGGCTTCAAACCTCTGCATTTTGAATGGCATTCAATCACAATAAAGAAATGCACCTTTGTTCCAGTGCACCACAATGCACAGTAATGGACCACCATGCATTGTAGCATGCTTCATTGGAAAAACTAGTGCAGGTCTGATTTTTAGTCCATTCAAAATGAATGGGCTTTTACTCTTTCATGTTACCCCAACCTCTATGAAGGCCTACAGGCGTAGTGTTATACCCCATCTTCTGAGTGTGGCCAGATCTATGATCCCGAGGTTCTGGAAACGTCGTGATTGCCCTACACTATCAGATTGGAAACGGGAAGTAGATAAAATAATGGATGCCGAGCGTTAGGTCCACCTGGTTAACCACTTCCCGACCGGCCGTTGTATATAAACGGCCGGACGGTGGCACTGCAGGGTCGGGTGGCCGTCTATAAACGGCCTCCCCGCACCCTGCTTGTGCGCGCTCCCTGGGAGCGCGCAGCACCGCGATCCGGTGCCCGCTGTGTCCTCCGGACACAGTGAAACACCGATCGTCGGACGGGACCTCTGTACGAGGTCCCGATCATGTGATCACCGATTGGCGAATCAGTGATCACATGCAAAGTAGTAAGCAAGATGTCACTTGTGACATCATTGCTTACTATGTGTGAAATATGTGAATGATCACAGAGGTCACATGGTACAAGGCTATTCACAAAAGCCTTGTACCATGTGACAAGCTGTGACCAATCACAGCTCACTCTGTATTTCTCAATGAGTGCAGGAATGCACACAGAGAGAAAGAGAAATGATTGCTTTTACATCCTATATGGGTGTAAAAGCAATCAGTGTAAAAAAAAAAAAAAAAATCTTTATCACCCCCCACAAGTAGTACAGTGTCACCATGGTGACACTGTACTGCTAGGGTGACAGTATGTAAAAAAAAAAATAAATAAATAAAAAATAATAATATAATAAAATAAAATAAAAATGTAAAAAAAAAAATGTTTAAAAATTAAAATTTTTGCTTATAAACTAATTTGGATTTTTTTTTTTACTAAAAAAATAACGGAATAAATTTTGGCTAAGATTTATGATGAAATATTATTTATTTGCAAAATTTTATAAAAAAAAACACTTTTTTAAAAAAATTTTTGGACATTTCATTTACATAGCAAAAAAAATACAAATCCCAGTGGTGAATAAATACCACCAAAATAAAGCTTTATCTATCTAAAAAAAATGGTAATAAAAAATTCATTTGGGTACAGTGTTGCATGACCGCGCAATTGTCATTCAAAGTGTGATAGCGCTAAAAGCTGAAAATTGCCCTGGTCAAGAAGGGGGTAAAAGTGTCCGGTCTGGAAGTGGTTAAAGGTCAGGGGGAGAAATGTAAAGATATTTGGCAAGGATGGATGTTTTATTCTTCGGAAATACCAGATGCATGAGCCTTTTCTGGGTGGTTTCTCTGTTTAGTGCTCACAATTTGTGCACATGGGTTTTTCCCTAGTGCTATTTGGCCCCTGTTACTTTTATGAACAGCTTTAATGGATTTTTCTGTGTTTCTGGAAGTCTAGTGCTGTGCTATTCTTTCCCCCCCCCCCCTTTTTTTTTTTTTTTTTTCTCTCTCTCTCCTTTCCTTTTTCTTCTTCTTATTTCTTTTGTTTGAATTACTGGGATTCTAAATGTTATGCTTATTCCGTTTATGTGCAACTATGGTCAAGAAGCCTGTTTACATTTGTTGTCATATAGGGGCTCCCTCTATATTTATGACCTCTTTGCCAGGTTAAAATATATATGTTGACTTACTGTTTTGTGTATTTTACTTCTTGTCATTGAAAATGTTAATAAAGATTGATTATAAAAAAAAAAAACATGAATGGGCTGCCTTATTGAAACGTGTTAAGGTGCAACACAGTGAGTGTTAGCACACTCTATAGGACAGGACAGATGTGACTGGGCCCTTAGTTCATATTAATGGGTGATCTTGGTGTTTATACAGTCCAGCTGAATGGGCAACTTTAAAGGAGAACTCTCCTTAAAGGGTTTGAATAGAATTCAGTGTGGCCGTCCACTTTAAATGAGACCTGGGTTTGAATTGAATCCAGTGTGGACAGTCTGAATGATATACAGTAAGACTTGATGATGTAGGATGACAAGTGTCCATGCTCATTACCTCTTGGCTCCGTGAAGTTCTGGTTGCATGATATGGCAGCAATTTTCTCTGTGGCACAGAACTGCACTGATTCCCCTGGGCTCTCACATTCACTCACACTAGACTCATTTCCTGTGGAGGACAGCAATGAGAAAATCAAAGTTAAACAAACGTTTTCAGAAAGTACAAGTCTTAACAAAGTGATTAATGTCTGTCAATGTTTTACAATTTAAAAAAACAGGTAATTTTGTGTGAAAGTGTTAGAACCCCTGCCAGGTTTTAACCACTTCCCAACCTGCCGTTGCATATAAATGGCCGGACGGTGTGGCAGTGCAGGGTCGGGTGGCCATTTTATAAACGGCCTCCCCGCACCCTGCTTGTGCGCGCTCCCTGGGAGCGCACAGCACCGCAATCCGGTGCCCACTGTGTCCTCTGGACACAGTGAAACACCGATCGTCGGATGGGACCTCTGTACGAGGTCCCGATCATGTGATCACTGATTGGCCAATCAGTGATCACATGCAAAGTAGTAAGCAAGATGTCACTTGTGTCACTCTTCCAGAAGAGTCTTTGGGATGTGTCTTATCTTTTCCTACAAAAAGTGGTGTATAGTCCACATGCAGTGGTGAAGAAACCATTTCAAGCAGAGTGCTGCTGTGTGCATCTTTTCCTCCATCCTGGAAATAAATGGGGTATATTCCCATCTAAGAGCTTTAGGAAACAGCTATCTATATTACAGATGAATGGGCCCCAACCACTTGTGCCGGCACAGGAATGTATTGTATAATATATTTGACATTTATGTCTTCCTTCATACAGGCCTGAGGCCTGCTACTCTCCTTTTTGACGCATATTGTGCTTGCTCTATTGCATACATGTGATATACACATTATAGCATAATTTTTGGATTCCTTGATAGGGATTTGCCATAATGGTTACTGCTTAATCCCTTATATCCTCTATTTTGGTATGCCCATGGCATAATTATTGGATACACCTCCCTAGGGAAGTGTTCACCTATGTGTTTGTGCTACAGGGACACTAGACTCATGTAGCCATTTTCCCTGCTGTACACACACATTTAGACCGGTTCTGGTGTCATTTTAAATGGTTTTAGGTCTGTGTGTATTGTCTCATACTGAGGTGATGGTAAACCAGGGCAAATGCCCATATGTCATATCTATATATGTGTAATAAAGCATCATTTTTGGAAATTATTTCCTGAGTGTCACGTTCTGTTCATTATGTAGCCGCTTTTCTGTGAATCTCTTTTCACAACCCTCTTTTTTTTGTATGCCTCTTTTGGCTACTGAATGGAGACCATACATTGGGTGACACGCTAATTTATCCAATAACCTCTTAAATAATTATCTTGGTTTTATACAACACCCCGCCACTATTGCCATACTACGGTGGCAGTGCCTTTGCAGCATAATGGGGAGTGGTTGGGGCATGGTAAAATTGTGGCTCAGCCACACATTTTTTTAATGATGATGACCACAAAGTACAGAAGGTGCTGTATGTCTGTCTGTATACAGTACAATGTATGGGTTTATCTCTGTCTTTGCCTCAGAAAACAGAAATTGTGAGCTTACCTGTGCACCAGGTTCCCAATGCTGCCTGTGCCCTCAGCCACCTCCCGCCACCAGGTTACAGCCTCGCCTTCCGCCCTCCTCATCGGAGAAAGAGATAATCACTCCGCCAGTGAAAGAATCACTCCGCCAGTGAAAGACTATGAGCCTCAGTGCCACCACTGATTAGCATTGCAAAATGCAGCACAGCTTTAGCTGCCTGTGCCCAAAATTAAAAAAAGAGTACCTCTCTGCTCCCCTTCCTCCAGGGAACCTTTGGTGAACTGATGGAGCCCAGAGAAAATAGCATTATTGTTACAGCAGGGCTGACTGTACTGCCCTATCAGCAGCCCTGGCCATGGCTGTGCCCTAGGTGGCAGTGCACCATAGGCGGCTCCCTAGTTTGCTTAGTGGCAGCACTGGCCCTGCTGGTGGCCCACAGTTAACATGCTGGCACAGGGGACCAAAGACCGGTAAAGAAACTGGCTCAGGTGAGGACAGCGCTGGATTTCTGAACTGGTAAGTGTCTATTTATTAAAAGTCAGCTTTTTATAGCTGCTTACTTTTAATTTTTACACGTGTGACTGAAGAACTGTTTTAATGTCATTCTGTACAATACAGGACCATCAGTCCTGTATTGTATGACAGGATGTCAAGGACCCACCCACATTCCAGAGTATCAGACAGTGGAGGAAAGCACCAGATGTCGAGGAACCAAGGAACAAGGTAAGTGAATCACCTTATTCATCAACACCTAGGCAAAATGAGCAGGTAAACCCCACGGTGGGACTCCCTCCCCACTGTTAATTTTTATTTTTTCCCGCAGTTCAGCTCTAACTATTCACTACTCTATCCAAAACTAAAAAAAGTTTAGACTTTGCATACACTTTAACTACATGCCCAGCACTTCAGCCAGTGGTGAATCAACAAATCAATCTATAAATTACAATACTACTTACTGTATAAGGAAAAGCAAAAATTAATTTAAAAAAATGTAAAAAAATGAATGTAAGGTTATGCACTTGTGGGCTAAGAATCTGCATACATCATCCATACTAGGAGGGGGGGAGTTACAACAGGGGGAATCAATGGTGAAGAAGGATCTGGGAGTTTTGGTATATCACAAGCTTAATAATGGCATGCAATGCCAAGCTGTGGTTTCTAAAGTGAGCAAAATCCTCTCTTGTATTAAAAGAGGTATAGACCCCAGAGAGAGAGATATAATTTTACCCCTGTACAAATTAGTAATACCTCATATGGAATATGCAGTTCAGTTTTGGGCACCAATTCAGAAAAGGAACATTGGGGAACTGGAGAAAGTGCACAGAAGGGCAACCAAACTGATAAGAGGTATGGAGGAGATCGGCTATGAAAAAAGATTAGAGGAACTGAATTTATTATCTCTTGAGAAGAGGAGATTATGGGAGGATATGATCAACATGTATAAATACATCAGTGGTTCATATAGTGAACTCGGTGTAGAGTTATTCACCATTAAGTGTTACTAAACCCAGGACCCTGCATTCACTATATCTGGTCTCCCACAGTACAAAGAATGTGGAAATGCAATTAGTTTAGTAAATATAAACTGCTAAATACCTTTTCTCATCAGCAGTATATAGCAGTCTTATGACTTCTATCAGTGTCCAGCAGAGCACTGATTAAAGCTTGTAGGAGGAGTTTTTCATTCTCCTCTGACTGTCCTATGAGGCTGCAGAACCCCTGACCCTCTGTCTGAACAGAACTGATTGATCCCATGCTGATCACATGCACCCTCCCAAAGGAAAAAAAATATCTCTAGCACATACACACTAAACAGAGCATGTGCAGAGTGCCTCCTAGAGCTCTGTACTATCATCAGAAGCGGAGGATTAACCCCTTATGTTCCACAGTGAGTATAACAAGTATGCTTGACTGCATATACAGTACAGACTGATTTTACTGTTGTGAGTTTAGTAACACATTAAGGTCATCACAGAGGACAAGGGGGAACTCTTTACGTCTGGAGGAAAAGAAATTTAATCTCCAAATATGGATAGGCTTCACAGTGAGCGCTGTGAAAATATGGACTAGACTCCCTCAAGAGTTGGTTCTGGCCAGCTCAGTAAATTGTTTTAAAAAAGGCCTGGATTCTGTACACAATATAATTGGAAATCAATCTTTATAGGTAAAGTTGATCCAAGGAATATTGATTGCCTTTCGGGGGATCAGGAAGGAATTTTTTCCTCTGCTGCAGCAAATTGGATCATGTTTTCTTGGGTTTTTTTGCCTTCCCCCGGATCAACTGTGGGTATAGGATTGTGTATTTAGGATTGTATAATTTCCCCCCCCAAAGCACAGATCCACTTGAAGTTCTACAGTAAGTATGAGCAGGTAGGACCAAGAGAGTTTGTCAATTAGTGTGCGATTTTTCAAGGCAGTCCAATAGCGAATGACTAAGAGAAAAGTTGACATTACAGTATACGACTTGAATAAGACCCTGATCGCTCAGCTTTGTGTTTCAGCCTGGATTCACACTGATGCGGTGCGCAATTCGCAGCGGTTTCTGTGCGAATTCTGCACCGCATCCCAATCCAACCCCATTCATGCAAACCGCTGCGGGTGTGTATGTTTACCAACACCCCAAAATAGGTCCACAAAATGCGGTGCTATGTGCAGAATCGGATTGTATAGGTGTGAATACCCATGCGATACGATTCTAGTGCGGACCAAAAAAAGGGTCTGACACACCTTTTTGGTGCGGATGTGGTGTGACCTGAGCCATACAAAGTGTATGGCTCAAATGGCACTGCACAGAATTCACACGTGATTGGCAGAGCAATGTGGTTCTGTGCGAATCACATGCACAAGTGTGAACCTAGGCTAATTCATCCGAGTGCCCCGGAGGATACAATACATAGCCCTGCAGTGCTAAACATATAAGTGTACAAATAGCTGAAGATTGCCAAACTACGCCACAGACTGTGTGATCTCTTCTGAATGGCAGTGCTGGACTCCAGAGCGGCCCTATATTGTAACGACAGATTCCAAAGGGACACATAAAAGTTTAAAAACACTTTAGATAGTAAGAATCCCCTACATTCTGCTCAATACCAAACTTAGAGGCTGTACTCTTCAAAATGACCACCAGAGGGCAAAAAAGCAGCAGGCACATCCAGTACTTGGTTTATTTACACAACTCCCTCTAGTGGTCAGTAACTATAAATCACCAGACTCCCTCTAGTGGTTAGCAGCTGTAATTAAACTGAAAATTTACTGTATCCACAATGACAGCTGTCAAACTTCAAAGAAAACAGAAACATTTCAGCTGTTGACCAAAATTTTATAAGCTGTAACCAGCACATGGAAGTATACCGCTAGAGTAGCTAAAGTATATGTATCAGGACTAAGGTACTGTATGCACTTTTTTTTTTTATTATTATTATTGTTATTATTATAATACAGCCAACAGTTTGCTCAGCGCTTTACAATATAACGGGAGACAATACAGCAACAATACAGTTCAATACAAGAGGGATAGGAGGGCCCTGCTCCTTGGAGCTTACTTTTATTCATTTTTGTCTATATTTACATACATATTATGTAGGCATTTTCAGGATGGAAGCATAAGGTTAAAGGGAACTTTACAGACTACCTATGGCTAATTTTGCTTAATCAAGTTTTGCTTAGAATGCATCTGTGGCCAAACCATGAACCACAAAGTAAAAGGTATGTGCTTGTAATATAGCAAGGGTGCTCACCATGCATGCCTATTACATTCTATCTTGTAAAGCTGCTCATACATGGATCAATTTTCACCCAACTCCTGCTGAATTGGCTGAAATCCATTCCAATGGGCCATGGGATTCCAGGTATGGCAGTTTTTATACTTATCCAACTTGAACCTGGAAATTTATTTTTAAAGATAGCAGCCAAAGGTGGCTAGAGTAGTAAAATCATGATCTTGCACACTCAACATTGTTAACGCTGCTTTTAGGGACGTCTGATTTTTTTTTTCTCCTGACTCTAAACGTCCCTCCATGTTAGCCTAGGTGTCCCTACACACATAGGCGTTTAGAGGAATTTAGAGGCAAATGCAGCTGCGTTTTGGTTGAAAAAATGCTTGATGCATGTAAACACGTCTAAAAGCGCATTAACACTAGGCGCGTCAAATATTTGAACGTTAATTTTTTTCAATAGCCAGAATTCTGGCCAATGAAATTATTAACAGCCAAGCGCTTGACGTGCCTAAATGACATGACTAAATGCACACATCATGAGTTTTTTGTGCCTGGCTTACAAGAGGAAAGGCATTTCAGAGGGATTAGCTAACGCATGAAGCCTAAATCACCCACCCTACCAATAAAGGTATCCTAAAGTCTTAATGTAACTATATATATATATATACTGTATATATATATATATATATATATATATATATATATATATATATATATATATAAAAGATGGAGTGAAGGTGCTGATGCTGGTGTGTGGAGCCTGGTATGAGGCCCCAGTGGAGGGGGGCTACCTACATGTTGAAGCTGGACAGAAGCCTCTCCACTGTCCGACCATCTGCTAGGAAGGACAGCCTATCAGCAGGGAAGGAGCCAGCCCAGCGTAAGGCCTGAAAGCAGCTGCAATGCATTTAAGCTCCAAGACAGGACAGTGTGAGGAATTCTACACTTCCTGGGCCAAAGAAGGGAGAGGGTGGTCAGATGCAATACCCAACTTGTGCTCACTGGAACTACTTCACTGTAGATCTTGGAATCCCTTGCCCAGGGATACCCTCAGGACAGCCAGTGGATGAGGAGATTTTCATATGAGGACTGAGGAGGTACACCAAAGGAGACTCAGTGCTACTTACCAAGACTGTTGCTGATTTTTTTGTCACTTTCTGCTGAGAAATTGCCCTCAAAGTTCTACAATTCCTTGGGAATCCCATATACCCCTAGACCCTATCCATGTTGTTAACCCTAATAAAAAAAAAACAAAACAAGCTCAAGGAGTGTTTTACTTATTCTGGGAGAAAGTATGGAAAATGTGTGTTGCCTGGCTCTGCAGAGCTTAGGGGGACCCAATCAAAATCCAGCGGGTAGTGCTATACTAACATACCTGTACAGCGTATTCCTTGAAGAGCTTCTAATGAGCCCTGTGGAGCAGACTTCGGTGTCCATGTTATGTTTGGTGTCCCACAGCCAGATTCTCTGCACACCACATGAGCGAGCGGAGACTCCACACTCCATTGATCATCACACACCTGAGTAGAAATACACAAAATCATTAAACTTCAATAATCAGTGTTTCAGTTCATGCGCCATACATTATTCACACCCAAAAACTGATTATAATCTAGGCTAATTCTAGAACAGCAAAAGGAACTGTAGATCAGTCCCTGCCCTCAAGAGGCTTACAATGTAAGGTCATGTCATGCGTTCACCCACACGCCACGCCCACAGTGACTAGCTAACCGAGGCGCGCACGTGTGGCCGTGACTTGGGGTAAGAGGGAATAAAGGGAACTTAACTTTGAATATATAAAACCATATAAAACCAGCCGTGATATACTTTCACAGCCTGCACTACCTCTTGGCCACCACCGGAGGGAGACTCCACTCCAATCCAGATGGCTGACCACACATTGGCAGATACAAATCTTACATACAATCTGATGCACTAACAAGGGTTGAGGAGCAGCCTAGCAATCACACACCCTTCTAGGATACCTCCAGCTATCCTACAAGCCAGAACCCCAGTGTTAATCACTCTTCCACTGTCCACACACCCCCACACCAGACACACCACAAACGGTAGGTTGCCACCACCCAACAGTTTATCCGCAGAACGGTCTGCTGGGACACCCCACACACACAGATCTCCGTCTGGCAGATCTGCTACCTTTACAATCTGCAGGCAATCTGCCAACACGCAGTGCAATTGCATACAGATTGGCAATGAGCTTGACCGAGCGTATAAAGACACTAAAATACAATACAGTCTAATCTCTCCGAAGATATGAGCCCGTGCTTAAATACCCAGAAGTCACTTATTAATTTTAGGATTTAATATCCTGAAAGTGGGCAGTGCATAAAATATGTTCAACATATAAAAAGTTACAGAAAATACAAAAAATACAAGAAGACACACATAGACTGTTCACTAAAAAATAAAAGGGAACAAAAAACGAGATAAAACTTTTACCAAGATTTACCCTGCGACTGGAGCAAGTCAGAGAGTCCGTAAACCGTTAGTCGATCGAACCAGCTCCATATGAATCACAATGTCCCAATGTCCAGGTCTTCAATTTATGGGGATATGGACGTAGGCAGGACATTAGTTCTTGGCCAATTAACACTGGGTGTGTTCCTGTACCCGCCCCCAGGCTGTTCTGGGTGCTGAACTGCCTTAAGTGAATTGGACCAAGACCGGCTTGAATCACCAAATCGAGGATTGAATTTCCGACACCAGCGCATCAGTCTGATCGCGACAGTACCAATCACTGTTCCGCTATCGCACTCCAGTGCCACATAACCATTTCCTGCATTTTCCTGTCATTCTACATAGTCCACAAATATAGTTTTTATATGCCGATGTAGCCTAAAGAGTGCCCCATCAGAAGGAAGTATTTTCATCTCTGCAACTAATATTTTAGTTTGTATGAGGGATGAAACATACTCCTTTGATGTATGTATATACTTTTAGAGCTCTCTAGACAGATCGGAGCCACCCTGGTGTCATGAAGCCGAAACGTCTGCGGAAGATGGCAAAGTCTGCGGTTCTCTTTTGAACTTCAGGAAGATGGCAAAGTCTGATTACATATAGGTGACAACATCTAATTGGCACCCAGGTGTCACTTTCAGCCTGAGGTAGCTGCTCAGTCTTTTCAAATGTTAATGGATGAGCACATACCTCTGCCATAATTCTGAAAACATCTTATATTATTATAACATGGAGTGCTAAATCTACATTTACGATTACATATTGCTACAGGTCACATTTCAGCTATTCATATCTGTACATTTATGTCACAAAATACACAAAATCATTAAACATCAATAAACAGTCTTTCAGTTCATGTGCCATACATTATTCACACCCAAAAACTGATTAAAATCTTGGCTAATTCTAGAACAGCAAAAGGAACTGTAGATCTGTCCCTGCCCTCAAGGAGCTTACAATGTAAGGTCATTATACCACAGGGCCAGTTTAAACAGGAGCCAATTAACCTAGCAGAATGTCTTTGGACTGTAGCAGAAAACTCACAAGTACAGCAAATGACTGTACAGGTGTGTCAAGCAATCAATTTTGCAACCCGGGGTATATGCTGTAAAGGGGTTTAGTGGACTAATAGTGTCACTATTTGGGGTTGTATTCAGAATCAAATCCTACAAGGACTGTAATACCTGTGATGCACAGAAAAGGGAGAACATGCAAAACTCCATTGAAACACCCTGTGGATGTGTAGTTAGTGTCCTGGTTGCAATATGAACCAAGGACTCTAGTAATGCAAGGCAGCATACGCTAACCACTAAACCACTGTGCTGCACCTGCTTGGTGGTGTGCTGGCTATGTCTAACATGGTATCACCGAAAGCAGCATTGAGTGTATAAGAATGGTTCTGGATGGATTTAATGGTTTTCTAGGTTTTTATTGCTGTCTGTGTCCCCATTGAAGAGATTCACCCTGATGATCATTGCCACAGGACAGAAAGTGATTTAAAATCTTACATTTTACAGTCACTGGAACTGCAGGTAAGGGGATATCTTTCAATGAGACATCTGTTCAAACAGGATTCTCCACTATTTGGATAGATATCCTCTCACTTCCCGTTGTGTCTACAGGACAGGAATTGAAGGGATTCTTTCCCAAAGGTAGAAAAATGGCATAACACCCTGAAAGGGGTTTTTGACCATTCTGTGCTCTGTCAAAAAATAAATAAAAAATGGATCAATAAACTGTTTTATAAAATAAATAAAAATTTCCCTATAGATGCACTTTAAAGCAGTAATAAAGTATAGAGAAAAAAATCCTTCCCCCTGGAAGTTAAGAGCATAATGTACTTGCACATTTGAAAGATTTACCTGTAAAATGGAAATTCTCCAGCGGCGTGCTGTCACCTTTGACATCTTCACCTGGCTTTCCTTTCAGGTTCACAGGCTCCATCCGTTTGAATGGCCGAGCTGCGAAGATTTCACTCCTGCGCATGCACACTGGCTTGAGTATGCCATCCATTCAGAGAGCACTGCGCATGTGCCGGTGCTGCTACAAAAATGAATATCTCCTAAGCAGTGCACATTTAGGAGATAGTCCTTGTACCTACAGGAAAGCTTTATTATAAGCTTACCTGTAGGTAAAAGTAACCAAGCAATGGTTACTGCTTTAATCCCAACAGACTATAAAATGTACCAATTTCCTGCTGGCAAAAGGGCATGATTTGCCAGTTGAATCAATACATAGCAATGTTTATTATTTATTTATTTTTATTTATTTCAGGTACTTATATAGCGCCGTCAATTTACGCAGCACTTTACATATATATTGTACATTCACATCAGTCCCTAACCCTCAAGGGGCATACAATCTAAGGTCCCTAACTCACATTCATATACAAGGGCCAATTTAGACAGGATCCAATTAATCTACCAGCATGTGTTTGGAGTGTGGGAGGAAACCCACACAGGCACAGGGAGAACATGTAAACTCCAGGCAGGAGGTGCCGTGGCTGGGATTCGAACCAACGACCCTAGTACTGCCAGGTGGAAGTGTTAACCATTTAGCCACTGTGCTGCCCATGATGTTCAATGATGCATCAACTTTCCTGCACTTCAGAAGCTGCAGATTCGATGAGTTTTACTGCAAAGTACCGTATTTTTCGCTCCATAAGACGCACCTAGGTTTCAGAGGAGGAAAACAAGAAAAAAAATATTCTGAACCAATGGACTGCGGACATAGTATAGGAGATGACCAGAGACTGCAGACATAGTACAGGAGATGACCAGAGACTGTGGACATAGAATAGGAGATGACCAGAGACTGCGGACATAGTACAGGAGATGACCAGAGACTGCGGACAGTACAGGAGATTACCAGAGACTGCGGACATAGTACAGGAGATGACCGGAGACTGCGGACACAGTACAGGAGATGACCAGAGACTGCGGACATAGTACAGAAGATGATCAGAGACTGCGGACATACTACAAGAGATGACCAGAGTCTGCGGACATAGTACAGGAGATGGCCAGAGACTATGGACATAGTACAGGAGATGACCAGAGACTGCAGATATAGTACAGGAGATGGCCAGAGACTGCAGGCATAGTACAGGAGATGGCCAGAGACTGTGGATATAGTGCAGCAGATGGCCAGAGACTGTGCACATAGTACAGGAGATGGCCAGAGACTGCGGACATAGTACAGGAGATGACCAGAGACTGTGGACATAGTACAGGAGATGACCAGAGTCTGCGGACATAGTACAGGAGATGACCAGAGACTGCAGACATAGTACAGGAGATGACCAGAGACTGTGGACATAGTACAGGGGATGACCAGAGACTGTGAACATAGTACAGGAGATGACCAGAGACTGCGGACATAGTACAGGAGATGACCAGAGACTGCGGACACAGTACAGGAGATGCCCAGAGACTGCGGACACAGTACAGGAGATGACCAGAGACTGCGGACACAGTACAGGAGATGACCAGAGACTGCAGACATAGTACAGGAGATGACCAGAGACTGTGGACATAGTACAGGGGATGACCAGAGACTGTGAACATAGTACAGGAGATGACCAGAGACTGCAGACCTTTGGGGAGCGGGGGACTCAGAATTTCAGTAAAAAACACACTAAAGTCAATTTTAGGGCAAACAAACGCAATAGATTGCCTAGAGTTTTGGTAAAATATAAAAGATGAGGTCGCACCAAGCAAATAAATACCCAACATGTCAAGCCTTAAATTGTGTGTGGGACTGTGAAATGGCGACAAACTTCATCACCCTATCATTTCTATAGGCGAGGTCTCAAAAGCCCCTACAGGTCATCAGTTTTGTGTTATGGAGGAGGTCTTGTGCTAGGATTATTGCTCTCACTCTGGCATGCGGGGTGATATGTAACATGTGTATCGCAATCCACGTTTTCACACATATGCGACCTCGACACCTGTGTTTATGTTCGTAGGTGTGTATATATGGGGGTGAGGGGCCTCAAACTTTTTTTGGGGAGGGGATGTTATGTGCTTGGGTGTAACTTATTTTTTTTGTAAATTTTTTTTCTCATCACAGAGGGGACGCAAAGTCCCTTATGTGATTATTTTTAGGTGACAGGTTCTCTTTAATGTGACATGGAGGGTCTAACAGCCCCTGCATGTCTCCTCTGTGCTCCACTGGATGTATTTCAATGCAGATTCAAGCCAAGGAATGTGACAGCGGTGACCCGGAAGTGATGTCACATATGCCGCTTTCTGGGTCACAGTAAGAAGGGGAGGAGAGTGTATGTGTGTCTCCTCTCTCCCCTCAACCCGCTGGCACCTGCCATGTTGGCCCCATAGATGGGCAAGCAGAACCCGCAATACATGGCGGGAGCGTTCGTGCTGGGTGGTGGGGCGCCATTATGGGGGGCTGTAAAAGCAATCAGGCGGTAGCGCAGCTACAGCCACTGGATTGTGTGTAAAACACCCCGCTGTCAGGTTCATAGGACGTTACCAGCAGCAAAAGGTTAAAGCCCAATTCCGGGCAATTACAAAAATGATCCCTTGCCCTGTGCCTGCACTGCAAGGGGTTACACGGTATTAAACCCAAAACCAAAAATGTATTATTTTGCAGCTTGCTAATCATTAGCTGTGATGGCTGCATCAGTTTTCTTTTTACTTTTTTCTCTCTGTTTTCACCTCGTGATCTGGCCCTCCTGTATTAGTGAGACACCACTTTGGAGGAATGAGCCAGGACACCAGCATTATCAGTCAGGATGGGGGGATAGCTTGGAGTGTTAAATTTATTAGCAGATTTTAATACAATAACAAATTGAAGCCAAACTCTAGCTAACACTTTATAATAGGTTACAGCAAACAGTTTTTTTCCTTCTGGGATAAAGGTTTTACATGAATAAATAAAAGCAGATCATTGTAAGCCCCCCTGTTAGTGGTAAATGGATGGCATCATCCATGTAAACTGATACATTCTGCTAGAGAGCTTGAGCGTCTGCAAAACAGCACAGCTGATGGTTGGATCACCAGAGGAAAATAGAAGAAAGCCTATAAAAGAATACTAATGCAGCCATGACATCTAAGAATTGGTAAATTGGGTTTAATACTGCTTTAAAGGATGTCAAGGGGAGAGGAAAAAAAAAATAGTTTTACTTACCTGATCATCTGATCATCTTCACCCCTGGCAAGCAGCAATCCCCCATGATTCGGCTATAGACTCTCCCTGGGGGTCCTCATGTCCAGTGCAGGTCTATGGACCCTGCTCTGGTCTTGATGACACCAGGACCCTAGACCAGTAGTGTGGGGGTACAGACGCTGCAGGGAATGGGCTAGCTGCTGGGAGGAGCAGAGGATCAGGTAAGTAAATCTTTTATTGTTCATCTAGATCAGGGGTCTTCAAACTTTCTAAACAAGGGGCCAGTTTACTGTCCTTCAGACTTTAGGGGGGCTGAACTGTGGCCAGCAGAAGTAGAAAATGTCCTGGTGTTAGAGGGAGTAAACAATGCTACATCTTCTGTTGGAGCAACAGTGCCCCATCATTGGTGTCAGTCGGAGGAATAGTGCCCCATTGTTGGTGTCAGTGGAAGGAATTATGCTTCTGTTGGTTGTGTCAATGGGAAGAATAGTGCTCTATCATTGGTGTCAGTGTGAGGAATAGTGCTTCATTGTTGGTGTCAGTGGCAAAAATGATGCCCCCATTGTTGGTGTCAGTAGGAGGAATAGTACCCCAAGGTCCGGATAAAGGCAAGCAAAGGGCCACATCTGGTGCCTGGGCCGCAGTTTGGAGACCACTGCTCTAGATATAAACAAGCAATTAACCTTTGTAGTTTTGCCACAGTCCCACTGCAAGACATGTTTTTTTACTTTCCCAGAGTTGGACTTTACATTTAGATGAAAGCAGCCACATGGTACAGAGAACCAGTGAAGGAGAAGTCTATCACAGGACAGGTAGATGTGTTTATGAACAAAGGCTGAGTTATGTTTTTAAACTCCTGAAGTTTAAACTTAAAGACCTGTAATATAAAAGTGGAATTTACCTGGATTTTTTCTTCTCTGGGGTTCTAGGGAGAAATCTCCTAGCTGGGCTCCTTGAATGGTAAAATAAGTTGTCTGGTAACACATCCCACTGAAATCTGGCAAAAACTCAATTATTCATTTTAAGAGGGCTCACTCTTTAATTTCCTCAAAGATGTAAAACTACAATTTTGAACAACAATAGGTGCACATGGCATAAATAAATTACATTTTAGGATGTGCAATGATTGATTCTTTTTCAATCTACACTTTCCTCTGTTCTCTATCATTGTTTAATATCCTGTTCGTGTTCTCCGGCAATACCTTGACAATTAATTCCTGTATCTAAATGGCAGCCCAATGTATAAATGTAATCAGCCGGACACGATAATCTCACAGGCAGTAATTCTGCACGTGGTTAGAAATTATTTCTTATCTACAATTCTTGCGCCAAACACAGCAGATGGCTGGGCGATCAATAGCACTGTATATGTGAGACCAACCTCCCCCACTGGCTCCATACACAGCAGCTCCTAGCTGTCTGGAAAATGTCCACCTCCAGTTATAGCCACTGTAATCAACATTAGGCACCAGTTATGTGTTCTGCTGTATCCAATCAATTATGGGCTATTCTAGGATAATTAAATTAGCAGGATGCCTTGGAGATACACTACATAATGCATGTCTTCAATGAAAAGGTGACCAAGTCTGGATCACTGGTGTTAGGTGTCCGTAGCTGTACCTAGGGTGTAAGAAAATTCTGGGGCACTATCCTTTTAGAACTCTTTTTAAGAGCTTGCATCTTTCAGATCAGTTTGTAAAATATCCAGAGAGGAATCTTCAACTGAAAGAAAACAAACATGATCCCAATACTATTCTAAAAGGGCATAAGGAAAATATAAAGAATACATTTGGAAACTTGCTAGCTTGCTTAAAAACCAAGGCTTTTTTAATATATGTTTTGTTAGACCACAAAGAACCGAACAGTACCATTAACAGTTAAACCCAACAGTTGTTCCCCATCCTACCCATCTTACTCAACATCAATAAGCCTTGTATCCTAAACCATGAAAACCTGCAAGGTAGTCCTGTAAAGCAGGGGTCCCCAAACTTTTTAAACAAAGGTTGAACACCCTGTTTAGCAGCCAGAATGTGGTTAATAAGAGAAAATGCCATTGGAGGTCAGTAGGAGTAAATATGTGTCGCACTGGTGGTCCGGTAAAAAAATGCCCATGGATCAATGGGAGAAATATAAGGCACCCCCCACATCAATGTCCCTGAAAATAATCAAAGACCCTGCTCCACTGGGAATGGTATTCTCATTGCAGGGGCCTGTTTATGTCAGGCCCAGGTTTTACCGCAGGTCCTAGTGTTGGGATCACTGCTGTAGAGAAAATCCCTAGCGAAAGGTAATAATCAACCTACTCTCTCAGCCACAAAATATATTAGAATACACCTTATTTTCTTTTAAATCCCCTTTTACGTTGCTTATTCTGTTACGATCAAAGCACATACTCACACATAGTGTAGTTCTGCTACAATCCACCTCTACATGCTGGGTTCCTTGTCGTCTTCTGCTTGACTTGGTTGTCTCTTCTAGGTTCTTGCAGTTGACCCCTGATAATGTCTAGCAGTGTGTGCACTGTAAAGTACCCCAGGCCTCCTGGGATGCATGAATTGAGTATCTCAGGAAGCAGCGGCCAACTGGAACAGGGAGAATCCCGGAAGTGTTGGGAGGAGTCCCAAAAAGGCAAAAATCCTGGAAGTGTTGGGAGGAGTCCCAAAAGGCAAGAATCCCGGAAATGTCAGGAAGAGACCCAAAAGAAAATGTATTAAAGAAAACAAACTAATGTTGGTTTGTTTCAGAGGAGGGTAGTAGAAGTGAATTGATAAAGAGGGTTGGGGGGACGAAGGTCTGCTTCAATATCATAATAACTTATATCAGTCTCAAGGTACACAGTCTGTTAAAGCACATACTCACACATAGTGTAGTTCAGCTACCATCCACCTCTACATGCTGGGTTCCTTGTCATCTTCTGCTTGACTTGGTTGTCTCTTCTAGGTTCTTGCAGTTGGCCCCTGATGATGTCTAGCAGTGTGTGTGCACTGTAAAGTACCCCAGGCCTCCTGGGATGCATGAATTGAGCATCTCAGAAGGCAGCGGTCAACTGGAACAACAGGGAGCATCCCAGAAGTGTTGGGAGGAGTCCCAAAAGGCAAAAATCCTGGAAGTGTTGAAAGGAGTCCGAAAAGGCAAGAATCCCGGAAGTGTCAGGAGGAGACCCAAAAGAAAATGTATCAAAGAAAACAAACTAATTTTGGATTGTTTGAGAGGAGGGTAGTAGAAGTGAAATGATAAAGAGGGTTGGGGGGACGAAGGTCTGCTTCAATATCATAATAATTTATATAAGCCTCAAGGTACACAGTAGGGATTCATATTAGTTATTTTTAGTAACACATAATGATACAATGCCCTTCCTCTAAGTGTACTTTATCACAAGGCCAAAAAGGATATTCCTGAAATACTGGGTGTCATGGGCAAATTAAATATAGATCAGGCTTGTTTTTAGGCAAACTATCTTTAACAGTTTTGGTCAATACCTGTATAGCAAAGTCTAACCAACCTAGCCCAGCTGCACTGAGGAAGATAGATGTAACTGTATAATTTTAGCATAGTCAGTCAAACTAGATCATCATACAACCAACTGAGCTGAACTATACACTTCCAGGGATTATGTTTTTCTATGATGCATTGTTGACAGTAAATCTATGATGCATTGTTGACATTGTTGACAGTAAATTTGGACAAAACATGGCGGAGAGGTGCATGGAGCAGGCATGTGAAAGAAGCTCAGATGTGCTACAAGTTATGTGTCCGAACAGTAGGGAGGACAGACCCAGTTTGCCGGGGCCTTTCTTTGTATCACGTACTAGTTGTAGCTAACAATAGCCATAATAGGCACCGAAAATAGCAGGCAGTTAAAACGATTACACTGATAAGATCTAGAGGAAACTGAAGCGAAAGAGGAAATTGTCAAATGTGAAAGAGAGGATGGAAAATTCTATTTACATCCAAACAGCGTGTGTGCGCATATATGAGTAGTGAAAACACTATTCTTAAGTCCTGTGCTTTTCAATTACATAAAGCCTGGGAAACTAGCAAGCAGACACATGTCCTGCAACTGCAAGCTACTATCAGGGTGGCATTATCAAGATTCAAATTATATTTTTATTATTTTATAGGTTTTCAATATTGCAATAAAATACACATAAATCTGCAAGAGTTTCCTTAGAATTGGACTTAGCAATAGTAGTTGCTCCTATGTAAACATAACCACACAGTGCCACAAGCAACAACCAGTCTACAATAATGCCTGATACACACACTATGGTTTTTTTTTTTTGCTTAACCCAGCGGGCTGAATGAAAACTGAGGGGCTCGCATGGAGGTCACTGTGCTAACATCAGTGATCTCCCCCGCTGTACTATTGTGTTCTGACAGGGGGATGGCTCACCAGCCAGAACACACCAGTCAGCGCTCACAGCCATTGGCTGAGAGTGCTGAAAGGATGCCAATTGACTGCTGGTTTTCCAGCATCCTCGTTTGACAGAAGCCGGTCGTGGGGTCAGCTACTGTCGGACGAGGACCTGCACACATGGGCCGAATGTCAGCCAGTTCTACTGTACCAGCTGATTTCGGCCAAAATTCAGACTGTGTTTACGGGGCTTAAGAATTGTTGACCTTAGACCCTGATGGGTCTCACTTTTATGTGTACGTCACCGTAAATAAAAGGGAGAGTGTAATTCGTTGCTGCTTAGAACAAAAATAATCAATTAAGATGTCATACCCCAACTTAATGTCGCAGCGACTTCAAAGTAGTTTACGCATTACTTTGGTCTGACTTTCATACAACTCGAGGGCCATAGACTTCAATGTTAACCCTCTAAAATTGCATGAAAGCTGTACGTGAATGTTTTACATGCAAAAGTAGAGCGACAATGGGTCTGACTTTGCAAAGGGATAAGTCGCATCCAAGTTGCACAGGAGCACAGTCGTGCTGGAACAGAAAAGGACCTTCCCCAAACTGTTTAAAAAAAAGTTGGAAGCACACAATTGTCTATAATGTCAAACTTTTGGCCATATAGTGGGTAGGATAGTCAGGCAACCATGGCATGCAATCAACCTTCCAACAGAGCAGAGGTCACTAAACTGCAGCCCTTCACTTGCTTTTATCCGGCCTTTGAGACATTATTTCCCTCTACTGTCAGCAACAATGAGGCATAGTTCCTCCCACTGACACCAATGATGGGGCACTATTTCTCCCACTGACACTAATGATGGGGCACTATTCCTCCCACTGACACCAATGATGGGGCACTATTCCTCCCACTAACACCAATGATGGAGCACTATTCCTCCCACTGACACTAAAAATGGGGCACTATTCCTCCCACTGACACCAATGATGGGGCACTATTTCTCCCACTGACACTAATGATGGGGCACTATTCCTCCCACTGACACCAATGATGGGGCACTATTCCTCCCACTAACACCAATGATGGAGCACTATTCCTCCCACTGACACTAAAAAAGAGGGCACTATTGCCTCCACTGAGCTCAGGACACTTTCTTTTCCCACTGTCCATAGTCCGGCCCCCCTAAAGTTGGAAGGACAGTAAAGTGGCCCTTTGTTTCGAAAGTCTGGAGACCCCTGCAACAGAGGTTATCACCCAGAAAGAAAGTGATGGAAAATTCGAACAAAAACAGCTACAACCCATTTTTTTTACAAGAGTGGCCAAAGATTTTAACCTTTATCCATTTTTTCGTTTTGTTTTTTTTTTGTGTTTTGTTTTGATGGTCTGTGTTTTCTGTCCCTTTCTCTTCTTTTTTTGTTTTTTTTTGTCCAGGACAGCAACAAAAATAGAAATTGTAACTCTTCTCCACTTTGTCCAGAACAAAAAAAAATTTTTGACTGTAATTGCGGTTTTTGCTGATAAAGTACATAAAAGGAAATACGTGTAATAATAAAAGCAAATGACAAACAGGATTCTTGATGAAAAGCATTTTGGACTTTAGTAAGTTAGTCCTAGGATTTTACATCTACTTGGTACTAAAGAAAATAATTTTCAGTTTACATTCCTTATTTATTAGCGGGCCACAAAATCTTTAATATTGTCTGTGGAATGTTCCCCTTCTCACCACTTAAGACGGTACACAAGACAAGCATCTGCCCTAAATCCATCTATAATTAGATCTTACATTAGAGGGATTTCCTAATTATAGATCAGAAAAGTATAAATAAGCCAGATAGGCTTTTAATAAATGGCCACACATAGGGCCTGCATCCAAGATTTGAATGGAAAAGTCCATTCTTTTTGGTGTAATAGTGTAACGTGTCATGCCCATTGCCATAGATCCTATTCTCTTACAGTTTGTAGGAAAAGTTTAGGAACAAATCATATAATGTAAGTAAGCTATCCTATCTTATAGCTAACTACAGAAATAATACTGCGCTCACTGGACTTGTGGCCAATTTTTTGCATGAACAATCTTTTGCATGGAAGATTGTTCCATACACAATTACATTTTCCTGTGTTGAAAATGAGTTTGAAAATTACACAAGCAACAGTGGCAGTTAACTTATGAGCACTCATGAGGGATATTGAGAAGTCATAGTACTTACGAGGTATTGGCTGCAAAACATAGACTTGCAATCAGCACACGAAGACAAGCCGCAAACAAAAATGTTCATATAAATAAAAAATAATATACTGTAACTATTTGAGCAGTCAAATAAACATTACTGCATGTATCTATAAAACCTAAAGCTTAAGACATTATAGGCGTTGACCTTATCAACCACTCAGAATTCATCTTTTTTACACTTTTCTCCAGCAAATGGTCCATTACCAGGATGTGTCTACTTGATTCCTAGCTCTCCTATATGATTATGCTAATCACCGAACATTGAAAGTATAACTAAAGGCAAAACTTTTTTTCAAGTTTTGTATACATTGGAGAGGGATCAGTATGGTCCCCCTTCTTGTATTGCGCAGTACACTGATTGTAAAATTGGAGATAGGGTTGTATCCATGATTTTGTAGAATTCAGAGGTGTATCCGTCCGGGCCGGGTGCTTTACCATTTGCTAGGGTTTTTATGGCAGAGTGAATGTCAGATTGCAAAATAGGAGCGTTGAGAGATTGGAGTGCTACGGGGTCAATTTGAGGTAGTGCAATATCGTCTAGGAAGGAGATGGCCTGTGATTGGTCAATGGGTTCAGGGCCATACAGTTTGGCAAAGGAATTTTCCAATATGGAAATAATTTCCTCAGGGGAGTGTTTTAACGTTCCCTGTGAGTCTTTGAGGGAGGTGAAGTGTATGGGAACGAATGGTTTGCGGCACAGGTGAGCTAATAATTTACCAGGTTTGTTGCCAAACTTATGGTACTGTAGGTCAAGATGGGACTGGTACACTGATTCTTAGGCTGCTGCCCATGTTTCGAAATGGTGTTTCGCATCTAGCCAGGCTTTCCTGTATTCATGTGTGACAGGGATTAGTACACTTGTCAGGGTTTTTTTTGCTGCCTGTGCCCTTGATAGGGAGATTCACCCTCTCTAGGGAACTTACTGCTATCATCAAAAGTTAAAGAAAATCCTAAACTTTGGGTTGTCTCTAGAACAGTAATAGCGGGGAATATTCCGTTAGGAACACTAGCTCTGGTGACCCAATTTAGAGGTATTTCCTATCGCTTCCCGTTTGGGCCATGCGACAGGAAGTGAAAGAAAATCTTCCCTAATGGGACACAGGTGGCAAAACAGAGCAACATTAAATAACTTTGGAAACTATACCAGTCTGTCAGTCTTGTTGCTGAACACCAATATGATCCCTTGACATGCTTCTCCACTCTCCACCAAGGATTCATTCTGCAAATTCAAGAAGGAGCTCTGTAGGTCTGTGGCACCACTTAAGCCTTTGTAAACAAATATTGGAGACAAAAAACAGATCAGACAGTCAAGCAAGGAACAGGACACTAGCTGAATTTAGACATAGCATGGGCTTCAAAATTATATGGAGAACACAAATATGGGTGATCCCATTGGAATAATATGATAACATAAAATGTATTAGCTGTCTGAATTTTGTGCAAAATGAAAGTGAACATACATGTACCCTTTTAGATGTAGTCTGATGATAATTGGGTTGGATATGGGCTTTTAACAGTCAACAATTAACAACCAAGATATCAAATATACAGTATAACATTGTGTCACAGGATAGCCACATTCATGGGCATACACAGCACATTTGCTATTCTGGTAAATTATTCATCATTAACACTGTGATGCCTATATAAGAACAACCAATGCAATGTGCTTAATGACAGAGTTCGGCCTAGGGTTCCACCACCCTTAATTTGAGGGCACTGCCCAAAAAGGCCACCTTCAGAGCACTACACCCTAGTACCCAAATGCCCAACAGTAAGTGTCAAATGAGCCAATTGCCTCAAAACACACTCTTTCGCCTGGTGTTTGCAAGGCACTTGACAGCATTAGAACCATGGAATCTAAACAAGCCACAATGTGAACCTCGAAGATCAAGTTAGCTGCAACCAAGCCCAAGCTGGAACTGAATCTTGATCTGAATATGTATGTCCATACTAAGTCATAGATTTAGTGATGTGGAATGATACCTGGAAGGTAAGGCCTATAACTTCCTATTTCTGAATAGGACAGTCTTTTAGGCCACAATGACACTAGTTTGTCTTCGGAAAGAGAGTGACAATGGCTCATAACTAAAACCCATGGGCAACAGTTCGCTGTCGGCTGACGTCATTGAGCTGGTCCAGGCTGGGGAAAGATAACGACCTTAAAGTCAGGATCCACCAAGATGTCCGGACCGGCACCTGGCTCAGTCTCTCAGCGAGACACAGAGAGCCTGAGTCAGCGGCTCCTGCATCCTCTATGGTCCAGCACTCCAGTGAGCACGGGGGGGGGGGGGGGGGGGGGTGCTGGAAGAGAGTCACCACTCACTGCTGACAGCAGTCTATCTAATGGCTCAGTTCTCACCCTCAGAGCCAGCAGGGAATCCTGCATCCACCTAGGATGTAGGTGTATGATTTGAAAAAAAAAAAAAAACATACCTCTCTTTCAATATAATCCTTGGTGAATGTGTAAAACCTGACTGTTCCTTACAATCTTTTAGCTGTCAAAGTATGAATATTTATGGACAAGAGTATTGTGATTCAGGCACTCTGCTAAGCAGCACAGATAGGTGCTTGACATCCACTGCAGCGGCAGCCATCTGAGTTGACAGTGGAAGAGCAGCAGGACCTAATGATGTTGTCCTCCTGCTCATTCTACTTTATTTTCAGCTTGTACTGTATTTATCTATCTGGAGTTAAGCTTTAACACACACGCTACTTAATTGTTGCTACTGATGCTTGATGTGGACCTGTAGCTACTAAAAGTCATGTAGGCATTATGAGCTTTCAACAAACAATAAAATGATCAACAACCAAATATTCTGCTGGACAAACCCAAGAACAGTACTGGTCTCCTGTCCTATCCTATCCTAACCAGCACACTGCAGACAATAAGTACAGGCGTACCTCAGTTTTACCAATTTAATTCGTTCCGCGGGACTTTTCGTATTGCGTAAAATTCGTAAACCGAAATGCAGTTTCCCATAGGAATGCATTGAAAACCAATTAATCCGTTCCAGAGGTAAGAAGAAAGTAAAAAAAAAGTATTTTATCTGTTCAAAACTCAAAGTGCGCTTTAAAGGAATAAATACTGTACAGGGAGATTAAAAATTAATTCGCAAATGCATTGAAAACCAATTAATCCGTTCCGGAGGTCAGAAAAAAGTAAAAAAAAAAAAGTCTTATCTGTTCAAAACTCTGTATAGAGTGCACTTTAAAGGCATAAATACTGTACAGGGACATGATTAAACATTAATTCGTAAATGCATTGAAAACCAACTACTCCATTTTCGAGGTCAGAAAAAAGTAAAAAAAAAGTCTTATCTGTTCAAAACTCTTTATAAAGTGCACTTTAAAGGCATAGTACTGTACAGGGATATGATTGCAAAAAAAATTCGTAAACACATTGAAAAACCAATTAATCTGTTCATATTGCGAAAAACATTCGTAAACCAAGGTATTATTTTAAATGGATTTTCATTCATAAACCGAAAATTACGTTAACCGAGGCATTCGTAAACTGAGGTAAGCCCGTACTTTTTGTGTCTGGCAGGCAATGTAAGGGTACCATGCAGACAGTGATGGCTTTTCCTTGGCCTTCTATCTGCAGGTGTCCATATCTGCAGAAAGAAGTACATTAGTTTTCAATACCAGAAGCCTGGGATTTGTAATTCTGGAGATAGGACTTTAGTGTAAGTGGAGTACAAACCTCCTATTGGAATTATTGGTGGCTGTAGTGCACATGCACAGGCATAGCAGCACCCATCAGGCTACACAGCCAAGAATTGACGGAGCAGAGACAGGTAAGTGTGTGACTTGCTAGGGGTCATGAGAGATGGTATGAACGGCCACTTAGAGTGAAGTTAGGCTGGGAACACACCTATAGATTGCGGTAACATGCATCTTCAATGGCACCTCAATGCACCTTGACAGTGCTCCTCAATGAACATGTATTTCAGTGCACAATGCACAGATGTGAACTATCTTTGTGTTGTGGTGCACTGCGTAAAAAAGGTGTAAGTCCAATTTTTGTGCTTTGGGGACCAGTGAAAAATTCATGGGCTGCCTTACCGCAACACACAACGTTAATTTGCCAAATAACGTACCTTATAAGTGTACGGTGGGTTGAATGAGAGGCGACTGCAACCTTGGTTTTATCTCTATGGCCTATGGAAACGACCACAAGTACACAGTGCCACACCACCGTGCCAACTGAGAAGAGGACCTGATGCCAACTGGCATAGGTCATACCTCCTGGTCTGGCTCTCTCATTGTTCCAAGGTAAATGGAAGATGGTACAGTCAGCATAGGGAGGAGGAAGTGTTCGGATTAATTTATTCAAAGGTATATTTATCCTGTAAATCCTTTGCTGACATTGCCGTAACTATTATGACAGTGGCACTGGCATAAAAACAAATTGCTGGCTGTTATAGCAGTCAGGAGTTTGTTTCCATTTTTACTCCCAGCTGCCAGCTACGTGGTAGAAGTGGACACTTCTACATGCTGGGAAATGTACTGCTCATTAGCCCCTTTGTGATCACAATAAAGGTGGGTTTAGAAAACTGTTTTAAAAAGTATAACTAAAGGCAAAACCTTTTTTAGTTTTGGATAGAGTGAAGATGGAATAAAAAACATGTCTGCTTTTTATTGCGTTATGCACCCCTGTAAGGGAGATTCCCCCTCATTATTTGTCCTGTTTACCATTATCATCAAAAGTGAAAGTATACGAAAATCCCAAATTTTGGGTTGCATCTAGAACAGGCATAGAGGGGGAATCTTCCAATAGAGATATTAGTTCTGATGACTTGGGGGGAGGGGACAACAGATTTCCTTAATTTTTAGGGATTTCCTCTACCTTTCGCGTTTAGTTATTGGACTGGAAGTGAAAGGAAATCTCCCCAAAGGAAAACAGATGGCAAAAAAAAATTGAGATGGGTTATAACCCTCCATTGCGCTATCCAAAATTAAAAAAAATAAAGTTTTGCATTTAGTTCTACTTTCAATTTTACTAAAACATATATAAATCACCCCAAAATCACAACCAGAAAGCAAATGAGCGCATTGGCTGCACCATAAATTTTAGGTATTGTGCGCACCGGAGTAAGAGTCATTATTTATGGTTAACTATAAGGCTTCATGTACATGAGCCTACCCTGACCGGCGGCGCCGGGAAAATGCAAATCGTGGCAGAACCATGGCAAAACGCAGCAACCGCTGTACCGCGTTTTCACGCGGTCGGCCATCAGGGTAGGCTCGTGTACATGAAATCTTATAGTTAACCATAAATGATGACTCTAGAATTATTGATCTTACTCCGGTGCGCACAATACCTAAAATTTATGGTGCAGCCAATGCGCTCATTTGCCTTCTGATTGTATCTTCTGAGGTGATATATATATGTTTTATTCAACTTGAAAGCAGAACTAAATGCAAAACTTTATTTTTTTTTTGTGGGAAAATGCACATCGCAGCAGAACCGTGGCAAAACGCAGCAGCCGCCGTACCGCGTTTTCTAACGGACGGCAGTCAAAAAACGCTCCTAACCTGAACACAATTCTTCCGCTTTCAGGAGAGGGAAACCTCACCTAAACGCAGCACCTCCTAAACCCTGCTAAAAGCTATGTGTACATGGACACATAGGCTTTTATGGAGTTGTTAAGCAAAGGGAAAATTTTTGGGAGTTTACTCGGGTGCAGTCACTTCCAATTTAAATTACTAGTGCCATACCTAGCGTAAACCTTTGGGAAAAGGAAATAGGCAAAGGGGAGAAAATGGACTTTAAAGGCACAGAATACATAAACAAAATCAGTAAAATCATTTGTCTTTATTATGACAATATGTCCTAGCAGAAAAACATTTTTAGTTCAAAATTCCATTGTACAATTCTGTGGACAATGTCACACATCCCGCCATACCAAAGGAACAAGACAGGAAGGTGCTATGGGGGGAGGTGAGGGACATTAAGCCGCTAGAAGAATGGCCCAACATTTTTTGCGACAACAATCCTAAATCCAGCCTTCTACTAGCAGTGGGTCCTCTGGAATGATGTCAATATTCCATAGAAAGCAAACAAATTATCTGGAAGAGGAATACAACTGCAACAGTCAAGAAACCCTCCACAAGGTGTATGAATCCTGTAACCCACAAGGCTGAACATCCCCAGGAAGAATGGCCATTCTATCTAGTAGAAGGCTGGATCCATCTACTAGCACTCTTTGTGTACTTTGTTGACATTTTGACAGACAGGTCAAGGGCTGTTTTATTCGAAT